GGCAGGCACAGATGTGACCTACACTTCCCTTAAGTAGGACACTTGGACTCCTGTGTCCTGTAAATGCAACTTCAACCTAATTGAAATCCATACTCAGAATTTTGAAGATGTTGCCAATGTTATGCGTGTGTGTGAGGTTCAAGGTGGTTTTCTATTTGGAGGCTATCCGGTGAAAAGAAGAAAAAAGGAATTTTATTGACTTGGGCAAAAGATGCCACTGCTTCTGTGTGGCCAGTAAGAATTAGAGGACTTGGGCTGTCATCTACTGTGCTCAAGTGTGGGAACTTCCAGTAGCTTCAGGTCTCCGATTCTCAGTTCCACCATCTGTAGAAGGGAGATGTTTGCCCTGCATACCTTACAATGTGACCGGAGTGATCATAGAAGAGAATTTGTGTACAGGCACATGGGAAGCCATATCTAAATTTGCAACCATGGTAATCCTAATAAAACAGCTAACATGTATTAAACACTTACCTCATGCTAAGCACTGTTATAAGGATTTTCCTCACATTATCTTGATAACTCTTAAGTACATTTGATGGTATTAAACTGTAATGTAATATTGACAGCTTCATTGAGGTCAGTAGATTCATGGCACACAAAAGTATGTCATAACAGTAAATTCTTAAAAACAAAGACAAGAAACGAGAATTCCTACTTACTAAAAATTTCCTTAGTTCTCGGACTGCAGGAAGCAGACCCTGTCCTAGGTATATCTGTGCCTTTCTCTAGAAAAGGTAGGTGTCCAAGGTATAGTTTGTAAATTACAGTAAAACTTCCCTTAGCGGAGAGGCAAAATTTTGTCAGAAACCTTGTAACCAGAGGGGTTCATTCTAGGATATTAAAAGGGGGATGGAGGGGAGGGGTACCTGGGTGGCTCAGTCATTTAAGCGTCCAACTCTTGATTTCAGCTCAGGCCATGATCTTAAAGTTTGTGAGATCAAGCCCCATGTTGGGCTCTGTGCTGACAGTGAAGACCCTGCTTTCTTGCTTTCTCTCCTCTCTCTCTCTCTCTCTCAAAATAAACTTTAAAAAGGGGAAGGGAATATAGTGTCATTCGAAAACAATAATTATTAGCCAGTAGTTTCAAAGACCCTCCAGACAAAAGGATGTGTGTAAAAGACTTGAGCAGAAGGTGAGTGAAGAGACCAAACCTGGCCCCTTTAGGCAATAAAAGGCCCAGAAGCACGTAGCCTGGTTAAAGTGTAGATAGCTCCCTGTCAGACCTCCACGGAGTGCAGGGAAGCTTCCTAGCAGTACTCCCCTTTGGGGCTCCGCAGATCACAAACACACACAGAAACATATGTGTTAAAAGAGCACGCTGACTGGTGCCTGCCTGGGTGTCTCAGTCGCTTAAGCATCCAGTTTTTGGTTTTGGCTCAGGTCATGGGTTCCTGGGGTTGGGCCCGGTGTAGGGCTGCGGCACTAACAGCACAGAATCTGCTTGGGATTCTCTCTCCCTCTCTCCTTGCCCTTCCCTTGCTTGTGCATGCACATTTTCTCTCTCTCTCTCGCTCTCTCTCAAAATAAATAAATAAATTTTTAAAAATTAAAAAACAAAAAGAGTACAGAGACATCCCTGTCACCCAGGGTTAGTGATTAACGCTGACACAGGGTGACCCACTCTCGTGACCAACACAGTTCAAGACGCAGCAAAATGCATCACTGCATCCCTTGCCCTTTGTCCCTTAAACAGTGTCTGGAGCCACAAGGGTTTGTGGATTGTACTGTCATCTATGCAGAAACCAGAGAGTGCCCTGGGCTGCAGGGAGCATCTGACTGGCAGAAGCACTGAGGTAAGAGAAAAAATAAATTAACTTGTCAAATTCTTCCTCTCAGACGGTGTGAATGTGTTAGATTTTTGCATAATAAAGTATCATTCCCCAGTAGCACCGAACATCCGGCTTCCTGTTTCTCTGTTTGTTCCAACCTGGTTCCAGGTACTCAGAAACCTGTAGAGTATTCGCTACAGTTCCGTAGAGGAGGAAAGGAGCATTCTGCAACAATTCGTATCACTCTGAAAATGGTGTTCGTTAGTCTAGGTGTAACCTCTGGGGCACAGGGTACCTATTCTTTATATTGGTAACTAGATGGCTCCCAAGGAAGGCTAGAAGCTAGAATTGCAAGTGGTTTTACTTTTATGAAGATGTTTTATAAGAATTAAATTTTTCAAAAATTAATATTGTTTTATTTAAATAATTTAAAAGTTTGGTTCAAAACCAAGAAGATCATTCACATATAAACAATTCTCAAGAATTTCTAATTTTAATGGAGACTACATTTCTGGCCATTATAGATGAGAATATAGCCTTAACTGAAGAGAGATTTGAATAAGTTAAGCAATGCCCTAATAATTATTTGTTTCCTTTCCAATTATAAAATGTAAAATAAAAATGTAAGAAATATTGTGTATATCTAGATATCCTTTTAAAAGATATTCCTTTAACATTTTCATTTCATGTTAAAAAATAATAGCAATGCATTTGCTATTAAATTATGTTTTGTACAAAAGTGCTACTTTGCCACATGTGACTGCATTACAGTTTTTTTAATATATGTAAAATTCATATGTAAAGTTCATTTCCTAAATTAAGGGTTGGTTTCAGAATTTTATTGACAATTCCCATTGCACTTGCCTTAGCAGAGTGAAGTTTCTCCAAATTAAAATTAATGAAAAAATATATATTACACAGGTGAACTATAACGGCTTAAAAAATATTGGTAATTTTTGTCATTGCTGTCAATAGAACACATGAAAATCTTGGTTATAGCAATACAGTTCATAATTTTGCTAAAATGAATGCAAGACAAATTAATTTTACGTAATAAATATAAAATAACTAATGGATTATTTATGTCTTTGTTACTCATCCAAGGATCACTGGCTCTTCAACAGAACACCCAGACATACACAATAATAATTAATTCGGTCATCTTTGATAATTTGCTGTCAGTCATATAAAAAAATAGCTTTACACACATTTTCTCAATTTTGTCATTATGAATATTTATGTGTCAGGCAAGAAGACAGAACATATTTCATTTAATTAATTTTAACTTTGTAACTTCTTAATATCTAGATCTATGATCTTTTGGCTTCCATTTATTCTCTCGCCTTGGGCCCACCAAATGTTGAAATGGGTCGGCTGGAGGGAGAGTAGGTATCAACCATGGGCCCCATGCTCCCCTGGGCTAGTTGTCCTAAAGGATGAAAGGAGAGAGTCCCTTAGGTGTAGCTGGGCAGGCCAGGTGAGGACTCTTCACACCTTCCCCTTTCTCATAAAGACCCCTCCCCACATTGACACCTATGTCCAACAATCTTCCACAAGAGGTAAACCTCTACAGTAACATTTAAAAATGCAAATATGCGATTAAGGGGACACCTTAGTGTGAATGACTCTTAGTTGGTGTAATTAGTCCCGGTTTATCCATCCTCTGGCTGAATCACTCATTAATGCAGAGTGCACTATTATTTCTCTCTGGAGCAGTCCTCACCCAGTTGGTAATGTTTGGCTTAGACAGGAGAGGAAAAGTGAGCTGGGAAACTGAGAGAAGTCTTCAAATCTGTGAAGGATTTTCATGAGAGATTATATTTAATCTGCCTGCAGTGACCCACTAGATGCTTGTTCAGGCTCAAGGGTGCTCCAGGGTGCTCAGCTGAGGGGCCATGGGGACCAAATTCCAGTGCTTGCTTTACTCACCAAACCATATGCCCCAATGCCAGGCTGAGTCAGCCTTTCATCTGACAAAGGGTGCTTGCTCCATGGGCCAGCTGGGGCCCTGCCTGCGTGACTCCAGATGACAGAATTAGGCCCAAAGAGTGAAAGTTACATGAATGCCAATTTGTGGTTAGTGTAAGGAAAAGATGACTTATAAACCTGATCTCATTTAGTCCTTATAACAACCCTGAAAAGTAGGTACAATTACTGCCTTCCCTGTACAGAAGGGAAAACAGGCTGAGAAGTTTTACAGCTTACCCAATGTTTCTAAGTGGCCAATAGGATATTTCTGATTAAAAAAATCTGTGCTCATTCTATTTTATACTGTAATATGTCTTCTAACAGTTTGGGTGATTCTTTCATGAAATGAGCTGTTTCCAAAGCAAGCAATTGCCATATTGCTTAAATGTTTAAGGGTAAGCTGAATGCCAATTCATCAGATATGTCACACAGTGGACTCACATGCCCATAAATGGGTGAATCAGGTAGGTGTCCAGCTTTGGGCAGGACAACAGAAGCCACTGTGTATTTCAAATAAGAAGAGTTTCAATGCAGGGAATTAGAGGCATAAGCAACCACTGGCAGAGTTAGGGGAACCAAGATCAGGGAAGCTCCCAGCGATAACCTCAGCATGTCTTACTAAAGCAGATGATTCGGTAGAGTGTAAATTTTAAGAAACTGGAAGGCTCCTGTCCTCTCTCAGTCTGTAGCACTGATTGAGGTAATTCTTTAGAATCTTAGCTGGTAATTCTTTAGAACCTCACATCTACCCACTCATCGGACCCAACTGCAGCCTGAGAATTATGGCCTCTCCCCTTCAGCCTTTCAATTCTCACAGGAGTATCCCTTAAAACAATTTTTTTAATGTTTACTTATTTTTGAGAGAAAGAGAATGTGAGTGGGGAGGAGCAGAGAGAGGGGTAGAGAGAGAGGGAAACACAGAATCTGAAGCAGGTTCCAGGCTCTCTGAGTTGTCAGCACAGAGCCCTACGTGGGGCTCAAACTCATGGACCACGAAATCACGACCTGGGCCAAAGTCAGATGCTTAACCAACTAAGCCACCCAGGCATCTGTCACAGTAGGGATCCCTCTTAATGAAAGAGATGCTGACTCTGGCCCAAGACCATATGGGGAAGTGGATGGAGGGAAAGATATCTCCTGGCTGGAAGAGGTAGTGGTGAAGCTGAGTTGTCAACAGACACTCCAGACAGTGGACACTCCAGCAAAATTTGTAAGCCCCTTCCCACCATAATGATGTAGGATTTTATAATGTATACTTACTAATTATCAGACTTTCTCTTATTCTGGAGTGCAGTGAGAGTTAAAAGAGCAGGAAGTTATCAGGCCCTTACAAGAGTCCTTGTCCCTGTGGGAAATAGAGCACAGAAAGGGAAAGCTGAAGCAAGCTATATGTAAATTTTCACACGTCATCATTTTGCCTAAGATTTGAACGCTTTCAGTTGGTCTGGGCCTAGGAAAACCAGTTAGCTGCAAAAGCAGACCTGCTCCACAGACGTTAGAAAAATTAGTGTTCTCAGAAAAGATTGTGTTCATAGGAAATATATACTGAGTGGCAAATTTTAAGAAGGTATGTTTATGTATGGTGGCTTAATCATTGAATTTATAACCTAGACATCATTGGGTCTCAGATACTGTAAACCCCCTCTCATTTCTGAAAATGGGTATCTTTGAGAGTATGGTTGGGAGGCTAGTAATAGTACGCCTTCTACTGAGAAACCTGGCAAACTATTAATAGGGAGAAATGGTGACAAATAGGGCAGCAATGATGGACTTATAGAGCTATTTCTTAAGGGTTCAAGACCTACCAATATGGCCCAACATGTGGTTGCTACATCCCTAATCTATTGTAACAATCATTAAAGGACTAAGTGAAATCACAAGCAAGTTAATGGTAGAGTCAAGACTGGAATTCAAGTATCCTGACACCCAGCCTGAGTTATTTTCTATGATACCACAATCCACCTCTCATTCTGTCATATCTACCTGTCTATCATCTAACATCTATCTATGTATCATTTATCTACCTCTCTCTCCTACCATTCTCACCTCTATCTACCCTTCTACCTTTTTATGGGCATCTATGCACTTAGCTACGTAATTTCTCCTTGCATCTGTCTATGTATGTTCATGAGACTCAGTGAAGAGACAGAAAGGCATTGATTTCCCTTTTTAAGTATTTGGAAGAAAGGGAGTAGGAAATGGGAGTGGGGGGCTATTGACTTTGGTTTATTTGTTTTGGCTCCTACCTGAGTAAAGAAAAGCTTTTAGTCCGTAGCACAGCATCCTAACAATAGCAGGACCTATGAATTTTTCCAGTAGGTAATTCCAGGCTGAAGACAATGTATTTGAAAAACAGCCTAGTGTGCTGCAATATTAAAACAGTAGGCCACTATCATCATAATATGTCAGCTATTGATAATGAGATTACATCTCCCAGTATACTCCCTCCTGTGCCCCAGCACTCAATTTTGTTGCTGGGGAGCATTCACTGCTGAAATGAGGAAACAGCCTTGGTTGGTGTGAGCAGGTCTTTCACTTACATTTGGTGTAAGAATTCTTGCAGCTTTATAAGTATCAGTCAAACCACATAGTCTTATATCTCCTTAGGAAACAAATCCTTAAAATAACTTGCTCAAAGGCTCAACCGAAAAACCATTAGATCTAATCAATGAGTTCAGTAAAATCATAGGATGCAAAATTAACATAAAAAATCAGTAGTGTTCCCATACACTAACAGTGAAATTTCTGAAAAAGGAGTAAAGAAATTGATCCCATTTACAATAGCATCAAAACAATGGAATAATTAGGAATAACTTTTACTAAGGAGGTGAGAGATTTCTAATCTGAAAACTACATGACTTTGATGACATTAATTGAAGAAGACATGAGTAAATGGAAAAATATCTGATGTTCATGGATTGGAAGAATTAATATTAAAATGTCAATACTACCAAAAGCTATCTATAGATTCTTATATATTATCTTATTATATATATTAGATATATATCTTATTATATATATTAGAGATATGATCTCTATAAAAATTTCAATGACATTTTTTACAGGAGTATGAAAAAATTCTTTAAAAAAATATTTTTATTTATTTCTAGGAGAGAGAGAGAGAGACAGCGTGAGCAGGGGAGGGTCAGAGAGAGAGGGAGTCACAGACTGAAACAGGCTCCAGGCTCTGAGCTGGCAGTCAGCACAGAGCCCGACGCGGGACTTGAACCCACGAACCGTGAGATCATGACCTAAGCGAAAGTCGGACGCTTAACCGACTAAGCCACCCAGGCGCCCCAAAAATTCTTAAGATTTATATGGAACCACAAAAGACATTGAACAGCCAAAGAAATCTTGAGAAGGACAAATAAACCAGGAGGTATCACACTTCCTGATTTTAAGCTATAGTATAACGCTGTAGTTATCTAAACAGTACTGTGCTTGCATTAAAAACAGACTAATAGACCAATGGAACAGAATTGAGAGCCTAGAAATAAACTGAAGCAGATACAGTCAACTACTATATGATAAGGAAGCCAAGGATACTTAATGGAGAAAGACCATCTCTTCAGAAAATGGTGCTGGGATATTTGGATAGTTTAATGTAAAAGAATGAAACTGGACCCATATCTCACATCACTCACAAAAATTAACCAAAGTAGTTTAAGGACTTAAGTGTAATACCTAAAACCATAAAACTCCTAGAAGATGACATAGGAATAAAGCTCCTTGACAAGTGCTTTGGTAATAGATTTTTGGATAGGACACTGAAAGCATACGAAGTAAAATTAAAAAAAAGAACAAGTGAGACTACAGCAAACTAAAAGCCTTCTACAAAGCAAAAGACACCACCAACTAAGTAAAAATACAGACTACATGATGGGAAAAAATATTTGGAAGCCATAAATCCGGTAAGGGGTCAATATCCAAAATACATAAAGAACTAATATAATTCAATAGGAAAAAAAAAACACTGGAAGCATCTCTAGTGTCCATTGGTAAAAGAATGGATAAAGATATATATAGATATATATATACACACACCCACAATGGAATATTACTTAGCCACAAAAAGGAATGAAATCTAGGGATGCCTGGGGTGGCTCAGTCAGTTGCATGGCCAACTTCAGCTCAGGTCATGATCTCATGGTTCATGAGTTCAAGCCCCGCATTGGACTCACTGCTGTTAGCACAGATCCCACTCTCTGTCCCCCTCTCTCAGCCCCTCCCCCACTTGTGCTCTCAAAAATAAATAAATATGTTTTAAAAAGGCGAAAGATAACCAATGCTGATGTGGAGAAAAGGGACCTCTCATTCACTATTAGTGGGAATTTTGATTGGTACAGCTACTATGGAAAACAATATGGAGGTTCCACAAAAAATTAAAAATAGAGGTCCATATGATCCACCAATTCTACCTATGAGAATATATTCAAAGGAAATGAAAGCACCAACTTAAAAAGATATCTGTATCCCCATGTTAATAGCAGCATTATCTCCAGTAGACAAGACATGGAAACAACCTAAGTGTCTATAAATGGATGAATGGATAAAGAAATTGTAGTGTATATACACACAATGGAATATCATTTGGCCATAAAAAATAAGGAAAATCTGTCATTTGCACCAACATGAATGGATCCTGAAAGCATCATGCTAAATGAAATAAGTCAGACAGAAAAAGAGATACTGTATGATTTCGCTTATATGTGAACTGTAAAACAAAACAAAACAAAGTTCAAACCCATAGAAAAAAAGATCAGACTTATGGCTACCAGAGACAGGGTGGGGAGACAGGGAACTGGAAGAAGGTGGTCAAAAAGTACGAACTTCCAGCGATAGGATAAATAAGGATCGTAATCACAATGTAACGCCTACCTAACACTGCTGTATGATATGTAAGAAACTTAAGAGAGTAAATGCTATAGCTCTCATCATAAGGATTTTTTTCTTTTTTCTTCTTTTTTCTTTTTATTGTATCTATATGAGAAGATGGATGTTAGCTGATCCTTTTCACAATGTGTATCAATCAAACCATCATGCTGTACACCTAAGTTTACACAGTGATGTAGGTCAAATATTGCTTTCAAAAACTGGAAAAAATTACTTGTTCAAAGTTAGACAATCATGTGTCTATTTACATATCTGAATCTAGTCATGGTAGTTATGCATATGGTTTGTTTATTGTATAGAAAGAAATGTTCTCTTCTGCCAGGTTCTAGGGGAACATAATCAAATTCATTAATTACTAAACATATGGCTTACATCTGAAATATTTTGTCTGAATTTGGGGGCTGAATTATAAAAGGCATATTGACAAACTAGAGAATGTTCGTAGGGTAACTAGGATTAATAGTGGTGATAAAATATAACTTTGGAAAATAATTTATTGAGTACTATCACATGGGTTGTTACTTTTTTTTTAATGTTTTATTTATTGCTAAGAGAGAGAGAGAGAGAGAGACAGCGTGAGCAGGGGAGGGTGAGAGAGAGAGGGAGTCACAGACTGAAACAGGCTCCAGGCTCTGAGCTGTCAGCACAGAGCCCGACACGGGGCTCGAACCCACAAACCGCGAGATCATGACCTAAGCAAAAGCTGGACGCTTAACTGACTAAGCCACCCAGGCGCCCCTGGGTTGTTACTTTTAATCCTCCTACTCATGTACTTTTATCACATAAGGAACGACTGAGGTCACATAGCAAGCCCTGATGCTGGAACCTGAGCTTGTGTCCACTCACAATACAGTGAGGACCCTGGACACCACCCCATACAAGAAGCTGTAGAAGAACCGAGGATCACTGCTGATGAAGGAAAGAACTGGGACCAACAGAGGCAAGTTACTAATGGAGATTCTATCTCAATAAAATAAGATGCTCCTATCCTTACAACTGAGCCTGCAAGCAAAAGCCGAAAGACCCTTTTTTTAAGGAATGGATGAAAAATTTCAACTGTAAGATATGTTGAATCTAGGATGTGAGTGAAATAGAACAAATAACCAACATGATTGATTTCATTTCTACTTACTATCAGAAAAACAACAGTAGAGGTGCCTGGGTGGCTCAGTTGGTTAAGCGTCCAATTTTGGCTCAGGTCATGATCTCACGGTTTGTGGGTTCGAGCCCCACGTCGGGCTCTGTGCTGACGGCTAGCTCAGGCCTGGAGCCTGTCTTCGTATTCTGTGTCTCCCTGTCTCTCGGACCCTCCCCTGCTCACGCTGTCTCTATCTCTCTCTCAAAAATAAATAAAACATTTAAAAAAAAAGAAAAGGAAAACAACAGTAAAGGTCTCTAAAGATTGTTTAAAATAACAACAAAATAAAAGTCTCTAAATTCCTATGACTTTTC